GTCCAGTTCGTATCCAAGGAGCGTTGCTAGGAAATGTAACGGGGGGGGGGAACCCCGGAAGCTCGCGCGGGAGGGCAGAGGGCGCGAGATTTGAACGGAATGACGTCAAAGATCGTCTATTGGACAGATGGTTAAAATAAAAAATAAATAACACTTATAAATAAAAAATAGTGTCGCTTTAAAGTTTCTGCTGTAAAATGTGACGGAATATTATTTTATGTTTTTTTTTTACTTTATTTTTGCAGTCTAATGTTGGTTTCTACGACGGAGTATTAGGGCCATACTAAGTGAATTTTTTTTATTTTTTTTTAATTAAAAATAAAGTCATAATATTACGAGAATAAAGTGGTTGAAATAAGCTGCTAAATGCCTGAACATTGCACTGTTATATGCATAGCTGCGTTACCCCATGTGGACTCATGTTTTAGGTAATTTGATTAAACATAAATGTGTATAAGAATATGCACCATATAGTTAGACACAGGGCTCCTATACAAGTGAGGCAGGGCTGAATAACCAACTGGGTAAAGTGGGCAACTGCATGTAATATTACAATAAACCAACTCACATACTATGAATATGGGTCCTGGGGCTTTTTTTTTTTTTACATGTTGCATATTGCAGTTATACTATAATAATAACTTAAATTAATTTATTCATATAGCACCTTTTAAACAACAAACTACAAAGCAAACTGATAGCTGTGATACACAAACTTAGATATAGAAATAATCAGAATACAACAATAAGAGCACAATGGAAGGCATACAAATAAAATGAATGAAAATAGAAAATAAAAATAAAAAAACATATAAAAGTAATGTTATATGTCTGTTTTTTAATCATTTTAAACGTATTATTCTTTAAAATGCATCAATAATCAAGACAACACAAACTTTATTTTTAAAAGGCACAAACTATACTTTGGGACTTTATGCCCTCAGTCACACATTCAGGCAGCGAGCCGCACTCAAATCCCGCCTACTGTACCATGATTGGCGGGTACGGTATCAAATCATAGCCACTAAATTAACACCAGTTAACCACAACAACAAAAAAACAAAACAAAAACCACAATAAATTGACTGGCGGAGCTTGTTGGAGGCGGGCAGCAACCTGAAAGACTCAAACCGGGGCAGCGAACACCCAACGACACCAGCCTCCAACACGGAAACAAGAAGACGCTGATCGCAGTTAAACAAGAAAAACACATTAAACACAGCCACAGTGGGACATAACTCAACACCATGCCCAAAAAGAAAGAAATTGTTAAAGGTAAGAACAAAGCAGTCGTTGTCATTTGTGATTTAAACAGGTTTAATCGCTGAGTTTCAATAGCCGAAGTCGTCATTTCGTCCAACGTGCAGCTAGTTTAGCTCGCTAACGTTGTGGCGTTTTGTGTCACTGTTAATGTATTTATACGAGTTTAACTGTCCCCTTTGGTTGTATATATGTAAGATTAATAAGTCTTTTATTTGTTTTAACACGCTGGGGTTTTCTCCCTTTTAGCTGGCGCTCCTATACCCAGAATACGAGAGGGCTCCAGGCTAATGCGCACACATGTGAGTTTGATTCCCAGAAATACTTTAATCTGTTTCGTTTTTTTGTTTATTGTTGTTTTCTGTGGTGTAACCGGTGTTTCCAGTTCCAGTGCTGCAGGTAATGTGCCATCAAGCAACGCTGCAGACACGCGATCTACCTTTGCAGGTCACCACAGCAGTTTATTGTCACAACTGTCACATTAAAGTTCAGATTAAAGTTCCTTTTTAATGCAGAGAAATAAAACAATGTGTTTTTTTTAAAAGGGTTTATTATATCAAACTATTCCAGTATTGCAACATCCATATTAACTCGCAGCTCTTGTGTTAATTGCTCTGTAAGACAGTAAAAAACTGTATTTTAATCAGAAGATGACACTTTCCTCAGTGTAAGGGTTTATCTAACAGGTAATGGTTGATTTGTTTAGTCTATTTAATGTCAGAAAATAGCTTAAATCTTCAAATTTGCTTGCTTTTTTTTTTTTTGCTCTTTGCCAAACTGTCCAAAGTCCAAATATAGTCAATTTACAGTGATGTAAAATAATAAGCAAGTCCTCACATTTTAGAAGCTGTAACCAGAGAAGATTTAGGTTTTTTGCTTTTAAAAATATTCAAAGTAATTATTTTACAGCAGCATATTTGCAGATTACAAAACTACAAAGTAGTTAGAAGCCACATCTCAATGTTACAACATTATCTCTCGTGGGAACTGCTGAAGATAACAGCCATAAACCTACTTTACACGCAGCAAATCAATGAAAGGTTGCACAGTGTGTTATTTATAACAGTATGTAGATGAAGAAGTTAATGCTTTCATACAGGGGATGCATTTTAAGTGTCTGATCTTTGTCATTCTCAGGAAACAATGGTAGATTTCATAAATGGACGTCATCCTCGGAGCTCGTTCGTGGATGTCTTCACCTCTGGCTTATTTGGTGAGTTATTCTCTGAACTGGCTGTTGCTGGTTAGTTCAAAGTAAAACAAATCAGACCAGTTCACTGGTACTCTTTTGAATTGCAAAAGGTTTGTTTATTTTATTTTATTTTATGTCGGGTGTTCACTGCAGTGAAATCCTCGTGTCGTCTTGCATTCATTGTTGTATCTGCAGCAACAAGGAGACGGCGTGTTGCTGCCTCAAATGACTTTGTTACCCAGTAAGTAGACAGGACTTCTGGTCTACCGGTCTTGTTGTACAAAGGAAGTCAGGATGTTTCAGCTTTGTTTCATGGTCTCTGTTTCAGTTCCAGGCTTCCAGCAAATAGCTTGTTAAAGATTTGAAGTATAAGTAACATAAGATGCTGGTTAGTGATTAGGCTTTATCTGGGTCGACGTTGGTTAAGAGCTACATGAGGTGGTGCTACAGTATCTCTGCTAGATAGTTGGACTTTATTACTGATTTTAATATATTGTCACATGTCATGAGACCAGTTATGAGGGTGTGGAAGGCTATCGGCTTCTTCTTGTGTCTGTAAACCACAGATTACATCCTGTTTATTGTTGCCACGCTGTCGATCTTGATGGAGCTGTTTGCAAAAGGGTTGTGGGTAACCTTTGATGCCAAGTGCAGGATGAGAAGAGATCTTACTTCACTTTGGAAAACATGAGTCAGAGGATTGTGGCAAAGGGGAGATCCACCTGAAAACCAGTTCTGGTGGAGTATACCGGTTCCAATTATTCACCACGCTCATTCAGACTGATGAGTTAAGGCCCAAGTTCTGCTGCCACACATACAGTAGCAGTAGGATTGTGTACTGACCCATAATGGAGAGATGTTTTAGCCCCATCAAGATCAGGAATCTCTGAGGAAGATGGCGATTAAACAGATTATGTGTCCTGTTATTTTAATATTTTGATTGAATCTCTCTGGGGGTTCAGATGACTCGTGTGTTCACTTGAAATGAAAGTTAAACGACCTCCTTGTGTTTGTCTCTATATCTCCCAGGTTTAGATTTTTTAAGGAACCTGGAGGGAGACCTGGAGGACGACATCATATATTCTGATGACGACGATGACGATGATCACTTGTATCCACACAATTCTGCTCACAGACCTTTAGAACCACATCCACGAATAAGACAACTCACTGACGAGGTATTTATTGCACGTCTGTTTCACTTCTTTGAAAGTGATCCCTGAGTTGTAACGTGATATCACTGACTGACTCATGAAGTCTGTGGATAATAAATGTAAGAACTTTTACCATTATATTTAACCTCAAAACAGAAATGTTCCATTTAGTAAATTAGCAATTAGCGTGTGTTTTATTTCTTTTGGGAATTTCTTGAACATTTTCAGGAAGCAGATAAACATGCAAAAGAATTGATAGAAGAAGAAGAACGACGTAAAGAGAAAACAGAGAAGAACAAGCGTAAAAAAATGGTCAGTATGAGCATAATTATTAGGATTTAACCTTCATTTTAAGTGTTGGTGTTGTTTTTTCGTGGCTCACAAACACGTCTTCTTTCTGTTGCAGCGTAAAAAAGAAAAGAAACGATTAGAAAAGGAGAATGCAGTACAAGACATTTTACCTGTAAGACTGTTTGTTTTTTTTACTCGTATTGCTGTGAATACCAACAAACACGAATAAGTGTAAAGTAAAGCATTATCAAAGCCACATTGATTACTTATAATCTCTTTTTTTTTTGTCATCTCAGGAGGAAGAACAAGGGAAGTCAGACTCCTCAGAAAATCAGGAAGAAAATCCGGTTATTGAAAATAATGCAGAAGCAGATAAATCTCCCAAATCTGGTAAAACACAAAATGCAACAGAGAAAGTTCAATGTGACGAGAACGGTGGTAATAATAAAGAAGAAAATCCTCCAAAGATGAATAAGAAAGAAAAAGAGGAGCAAAAGGTTTGTGGAGAGTTTTACTTTTAAATTTGTCACATTGTGGAGAAAAATGTACTTTAAATTTGCATGTATTTATTTTTAAGCTAGTGCAGATATAATGTCTCAACAGTAATTAAATGGATGATATGCAAATACAAGGTGCAAATATACCTCAAAAAGACCAAACCTTACTATGTGATATTATTATTATTATTATTATTATTATTACAAAATAATTGTTTAATCACCAGGAGTTGTTTTGAATTGATGTATATTTTTTATACTGGTCTGTAGTGTTACTGACTCTCTCTAAGCTGAAAGTGTTAGAGACCGGTGTTTCCGTGGTAACTGGAAGTGACACAAAAAAGTCAAAACATGGCTCATAATTTCTGATTTTGTTTTTACAGTGTTGTCAGAAGGGAAAGTGCTTTTACAAACTAGAAGTACTGAGACACACAAAACCACAAAAAGCAGCCACAGCAGCTCACTGCGATTTTATGTTACCGGAAGTGTTTTGTGGTGTTAAATTTCTCGCTGTATTTTACCAGTAAAGTGTCGTTGTATGTTTTTTTTTTTTCTGATGGCAAACTTTCTTTGCTTGATCTTTTTTTTTTTTTATTTAAAAAACATGAATTTACCCAGAATTGATAGCAAATTAGTCTTACTTAAGATGGTAAAGAAAAAAAGAAGCCACAGGTGAATTTATCTGTCTTTCTAAAGTCTGACTATTAGCCGCAGTCATAGTCTGTCTTTGTGAAACTGACGGCAGATTTTTAACATTGGTCCAGTTGTATCAGCATCTGTATTAACCAACATTTTTGCTGTGTTTGGTCAAAACATCTAGACAAATATATTGGGGATGAAAAAATTCTCATTAGAGTAGTTTGTGTACGATTATCCTAAAAACCACCACCTTGTGTTTCATTGTCCTCCACAGGTATCGGACTTAAATAATTCATATGCTTCTATGGCTAAACCGGTGCCTGAGGAGACGTGTAACCAGATGCCTGCAAGAGAAGGAAAAAAGGAAAAAACAGCTAAAATACTGGAAGTTGAGCAGTTGAAGGAAGAAAAGCCAGAAGTTGTGGAGAAACCCGAAGTTCAAAAGAAGAAGGAAGTGAAACAGGAACCCATTGAAAAAGTGAGAACACTGAAAACAGTTTTTGTGTTTCTTTAACGGAAATAATTCGTATCCTAATAAAAGGCCGAAACCACACAAATATAATCCCTCTCAGTCATCACTTATGACCCACTGGAAATGTGTGGCGGTGTCTGTATCTGCAGAGACTCTGTCGTCTGCCTGTATTTCCTTAAAGGGCGTCAACCTTTAGGCAGTGGGTGTGTGATCCTCAACCAATAACGGCGTGCAGGGTGTGAGAGTGAGACTGTAAAAACGTGGTGACTTAAGAGCCAGATTGTAAGCACACATGTAAGAGGTGTCGCTGAGCCGGGGAGGAAGGGGCCGACTTTAATCTTCATATTCTGCCTTTAAATGATCAGCCTAGAAACACTTAAACCAGTTTTATCCTTTCTGAAAGTCTGATTCTTCAATTGTATTTGTGAATCTACCTTTTTATTTATTTTATGTGGTAGAACAATAACTGGTTGGGCCTCTTTAAAATCATCACAACTTGGTGTCTGACAAGCTGCATGCAAATTAAATGTTTCCTGAAGTGCTCGGCATACTTCAGACTAATGTGCTCCCTTTTTAATTTGAACAGAAAACGATGGATCCCACTGCAAACGAGCTTGCAAAGAGAAGCAGAGAGCTTGCTGGTGAGTTATCTTTCCAGTAACATTTATTTTATTGAAACTCTGACAAAACAAACATGTTGAAGGTGCCCTCCTTGTTCTTCCTTCCAGGTATTGGAAATCGTTTGGCTGCCTCTGGACAGTATGAGATGGCAGTGAAATACTTTACTGATGCTATTAAATACAACCCAAAGGAATATAAGTAAGAACACAGACTTAAACTGACTTCAGCCTTCACTAAAGCAACCAGAAGTAGTGACCATCTAATGACCTTGAATTATGTTTACTCTGTTTTTCAGGTTATTTGGAAATCGGTCCCTCTGTTATGAAAGAACGCAGCAGTATGAAAACGCTCTCAGGGATGCTGACATAGCACTGTGCATGGAGCCAAACTGGATAAAAGGTTTATTTAGGAAAGGGAAAGCTCTCTGTGGGCTCAAGGTAAATCACTGCACCTGTATCCCGTTAACCTTGCTTACACTGCTCCTACTCTTTCGGGGCTGTTTTCTTTTCATGTATAATATATCTTTATGCTGCAGTTGACTTGACGTGTTTTAATGCGCTTCATTAATTTATTAATGAGTTTTAAATTTCTCCCTTCACTTCTCCAGAAATACTACGAGGCCTCGCTGATCTATAAGGAGGTGTTACAGCTGGAAAGTTCGAGCGTTGAAGCCACACAAGAGCTGAAACGAGCACAGACGTTGCACCTTATGGTAGGAGAAGCTTCTGTACAACATTTACAAAGCAAATAACCCCAAATAACTTGAGTTATTGGCTCCAAACAATTGGACATTATTAACATTACACAGTTAATAATAGGAAAAGGAGGATCAGAAAAAAATGTTTAAGAGTGCGAATTCTAACTCACTTCTGGTGCAGTTTGTTCCCTCTGCCGTTTTTATATTTCACTCAGTTTCGGTTTATGTTTCTAGTGTACAGTTTGGATTGGACACACAAATTTCATTTGTTCATGTCTTCCTGTAGATGGGGAGATGTAAATGCTGTAGAATAACCACAAAAACACTAAAAACATTTATATTTAGACTGGGAGTAGTGCATTTAGGTTGCAACTCTTGGAGAAGCGAAACTCAACGTCACGCTACGGTTAGCCAGTCGAGCGATCAGACGGGTCAAACTGCTCCACACTCAGCCTGAAATATCACTGAAACAGGGGCTTTCCAGTTCATGGACCAAACTATGATACTCTCCCAGTTGTGTTTATTTCTTGTTCCCAGCTTCGAGTTGTCTATGCTGCAAAATAGCGATACCAA